AGTATAAAGCAAATAGAAAAGAATAAGATTTTTCTTAATCCTTATTATTATTATTAGATCATCAAATGTGCTGTAGCATGTCAGTAACACGGTACAGTGCTGAATAATCCTCAGAGCTTTAGCTCTTCAAGAATATTATTGCTTTTTAAATATGAACACTTCACAATAGATAAATTTTTTTCATTATTATTACAGCATACTGTAAAAGCACTAAATCTGTGGGTCGCTCAGCACTGATGAGGTGTCTAGCCCTAAGGGAGGAAGTAGAAACAATAATAATTGCTAATGAAAATCCTACACATTGATAGAGACGGCAGATTCTGGAAAGCTATAAATATCATTTCAATGTTCAGAAAAAGAATTAGATATAGACACAGCTTAAAGCATAGTTGAATTATTATATACAGATACTCCCCTACATACAAACATTCGTGTTGTGAACCTTCGATAATACAAACAATTTGCTCTGAAGCACAGATGTGAACAATGCACAGTAGGTTACTCTAGCGGCATCATTCATACGTGTGATTGTGCTCTCTCCACAAACTCAGTGTTATCTGTGATTATTATACCCCCAATATGTCTGGTGTAAAGCACAATAGCAGTGGTGATGCAGGTGTTAGTACTAAGAAGCACCAGGCCATCACAATAGAAACAAGTGGACATCATAAAGTAGAGCAAGGTGAAAAGATGGTGAATGTCGCCTGTTCACAAGTGTACAGTGTGTATATTTCCTATGTTCAGGTACAGTAGGGGCCCACTTATATGGCAGGTTAGGTTCCAGACTACCACCATAAAGTGGAATGCCCCCCTTCCCCCCCCCACTTATAAATTCATATAAATACTAGATAAGTTCACTAACATTTATTAATTTAGCAATAGAACTAGGCATTAAAAACAAAAAATAAAATACACATACAATGCACTCATTACTTATCTTTACAAATCTTTTGTCTTAATGTAGGGCGAGATGAGTAGTAGTATTGTAAGAAATCAAGTGTGGTATGTATGGTAGCCAGCTAGGCTACCATACCAGGCCACCCCACCCACACATAATATATTATGACATTTAAAGCATCCCAGAGCGATAACATGCATATACAGTTCACTTGTTACTTACCTTAAAATATTTGTAGTCTTAATGTAGGGTCAGAGGTGAGTAAACAAGATAAAATGAATAAAAGAGAGAGAATGAATGAATACACGAGAGGACAGACGCAGAGTTATGTAAACAAACCAGGCAAACGTGTCTGGTTTTCGTTCATATGTTTGTATTATACCATAATACAAAAACTTAACATTGTGTACAAGTTGTCTTCACATTGATACAGTACAATAAATAAAGAGCAACACTCCCATTCTCATGACACCATTTTTAGAAGAAATGACACTCTGAGTGAAGGCATACGAAAGGAATAATTTTCTACAGTTACGCTCAGTAATATTATAGTGCACACATTTTCTCTGATGCTGGACTAGTGAAAAATTCAATCTTGCCTTCACTCCTACAAGTCGCCTGGCTACCACATCTCGTATGTTAATTTATTCTACTGTGGGGTGTATTTACCATGTTTATATGTTACATAAAGTGTTTATTATATAATTTTGAAAAAATATCATAGGTGGACTAGCAAAATGTGTATATTAACATAATATACGACATTTAATGTGCCTCAGTAATTATTTTTGAGTATTATCATTATTAATGTGGCGTCTCAAGACATAAGACACTCTTAGTGATTTTAATGTGTACATGCATGCCAGCACAGTGTGTAAGTTTATTTAGGTACAGGTACACATAAGTGTAATTATCAGAGTATATATAAAATATGAAATAACTTTTAAAAATACTTGAAATTTTGTAAAGTTTCCAGACATAATGGAAGGACATGGTGCTCACAAGCTCATGGGGAATGTAAACCGGGTGGGGCATGGTGACTGTATTAGAAAGCCAGGTGGGGGGAGCTGTATAGCGAGTTTTGGTCATAATTTGGAATGTCCATATTAGTAGAACGCCGTAAATGGGGCCCTACTGTATATGTTTAAACTATGTATACTTCTAGGTTACTCGATGTTCGTACATACATATACTACAATACTGTATACGTACATATGTTTGACTTACGAACTATGTAATGGACTTGCAAATGACTGCTCGGAACCAAACCTGTTTGTAAGTAGGAGAGTATCTGTAATTATAATCAAAGCTAAGTACAAAAACCAACAGGGTCAAACAGCGCTGTAGGGTAGGGTGTGTGAAAGGGGTTCGGGAGGAGGAATTTCACAGGCATGGGGCTCCATGGTTAGGCTTCTATTTTTTGTTTTCAAAAAAACGAGGGGTACGTGGAGGGGTAGCACCTACGAGGAATGAAAGGAATTGTATATCCCCCTCCATGCCCAATAGGGCCCTCAGTGCAGATGTGGCATGGAACCTGTGCCCTACCTTACCCTTCATGCCAATAAGCTGGCAATCCAGCATAGCAACCTCACGTCCACTTAGCCCCCTCGGTGGACAAAAGAGAGGGCGGTCAGAAGCCTGCCACAAGGCATATCTCCCTCAGTCACCACCTTCAAGAACTGACAGGCAGCCTCCAGACACACATCCATCACATGAAGGATACCCTAAGCTGCCCCCTGGGACTCCGAAGGGAGATCAGGACATCCCTAGATGATCCAGATTCCACAGCAAACGTCACCACTACCAAGGACCTCAATAGAATGGGACAGACGACGACATCCTTTCCCCAACCTAGGAGCTAGAATTTCAGAGGGGAGGACCTCGAAGGCCTAAAACAGAAAAGGAAGTAGAGGGGAGGGATAGTGGATGGGAAGGGAGGAATGGGGGTTTTAGGTTCGGTCGGAGGAAGAAGACCGAAAGCCTTTTTGCTGGGTCAAGGAGCCCCCCCTTGAAGAGGCCTTCAAGGAAAAACAAGGGGGAGGGACTGGGTCCCTTGAAGTTAAATTGTATTCCAAGGAATTAAGAGCTACCCTCTCCCCTTCCTTGGATCAAATTTAATTACCTCTTATTGCACTGTATGATCCATATGGGTTTAGTGCATCAAATGAATACTATAATAATGAGTTCCTTCACCATTCCCCCAGGTGCTATATGACTCCAATGGGTTAAGCACATCCCATAAATATAATACTGTAGGTCTCACATGTCAGGGTACAGAGGGAGGCAATCAGTTCATTTCTTCAATCAAGGACCCTTCTCCAGCATCAAGGTATTTGTCATGAAGCAAGACCTATTATAAGAGTATGAAGCATCATCATGAAACCCTCACCTGAGAAACTCAATATTACATTTATAAAGATTATATGGTACATGGAGAGTGGGGAAAGCATTAAACCCATAGGGATCACATAACACCCAAGAAATAGGAAGCATTCATGTTCTATCCCAGAAAAGAGCTTAAGTTTAGTTCCTTGGACCAAGAGCTCCCTTGATGCATGTGAGAATACAGAAAAATGTTGGATTACTATAATCAATCTCTGAATATGTAGGAATGACTACTTCCAGTTATTTAAATACAGTGGTCCCTCGTTTATCGTCATTAATCCATTCCTGGAAGTGCAACAATTATCGAAAAAGACTATTTTCGAATAAATTTTCCCCATAAGAAATAATGTAAATACAATTAATCCATTCCTGACACCCAGAAGTATTAAAACAAAAATTTTTTTTTACATGAAATATACATGTAGAACATAAACAATACAATGGGACATGATGAATGAAACATTAACAGCATAACACTTACCTTTATTGGCGATTCTTCTTAGTGTATGGAAGAGGGGACGAGGGGGAGGAGATTTGATTAGTTACTGTTCGGAAGGGGAATCCCCTTCCATCAACGCCTCAGGTACCAAGTGCTTTTCTGGGGTTACTTCTCTTCTCTGTTTCTTAATGCCATTAGGACCAGCTTGAGAGTTACTGGAGTCCTGTCTCACAAAAAAAAAGTGTCCAGAGAGTTCTGTTTTGGTATTTTTTAAATTATTAAAATCAAAAAGAAGCGCTAACCACAAGGACATACAGGGTATCTTTAAATTTCCCTAAAAGGGGCCCAAAGACTTGTCCTTAAAAGTTCCCGATATGGCTTGCAATATCCTTCTCAGGGGATGTTTCTCCATAAATCTTTCCACCCTCCCCCAATTCAAAAATCCCCTTTAATTTTTCTGAAAAAGGCCCTTCACCCATCTTCTTCCTCCTCCTCTGCGAAAGTTCTGAGTGCGATTGTTCCTGTTCCTGCTGAAGCCTTGCAGCTCCTCGTGGTTAGCTCTTCCTTGGGGTCCCCACCAACTCTTCCAATCCTAAAAAACCCCAATAACCCCCACAGAACCCCCAAATCCCACAATAGAGTTCACAACTGACATAGGCATCGGGGCAGCCCAAACCCTTCAAAATCCCTCTTGTGGAACAATTGGCCACAATTTTTCCAGCAGAGTTCAAGCCCTGGTAGTACCCCCTCCCAAGCCTTTCCTTAAGGCTTATGCAATGGAGGATATGAAGTGCTCTTTCCAAAAATCTCTTGGGGCAAAAGGGGTGTTGGGTCACATTAAAGCACCTTTTAAAAATTGCTTTGGGGTGGTTTTTTTAAAATTTTTAAATGACTGCGGTCCCTGGGGGAGGGGAGGAGTGGTATTCGGGGGGAAGAATTTATTTTGATGAAACCCCAACTCCTGCAGAATTAGGGCACCAAATTTGGGGATGGCAGGTGCATTGTCCTTATGGAGGCACTTGAGATTTCCCAAATTTTTTTTCCAGGGGGTTTCTTCACACGGGCCAAACACTTTTAACCACCCCGAAAATGTCCTTGTGACCCATGCCCTTTTATTAGATCTCCAAAAAAACCCAATTACTCTTCATAACATTGTTTTTCCTGAACATCTGGGATTTTTCGAATGGTACATAGTAAGGTTCACTTGAAATCCCCCCTGCATTAGCACGACAAAGAGTGTCAGCCTGTCTTTATAAATTGTTCCCGGCATCCCTTTTCCTCCCGAGTAATGTAGGTCTCTTTGGCATTTTCTTCCAAAAGAGGCCTGTTTCGTCACAATTAAACACTTGTTCAGGTTTCAGTCCTTCAGCCTCTATGTACTCCTTGAATTTACTTATGAATTTTGTAGCTACAATTTTGTCCAAACTGGCAGCCTCATCATGCCTTATCACACTGTGTATGCCACTATGCTTCTTAAATATCTCAAACCAACCTTTGCTGGCCTTAAATTCACAATTATCAGTACTCGTTGCAGGCAATTTCTTTACCAGATCGTCATGCAACTGCCTAGCCTTTTCACAAATAATTCGACGTCATAAGAGTATCTCCTGTTAATTGTTTCTCGTTTATCCACACCAATAATAACTTCTCAACATCTTCTAGTACTGGTGATCTCATTTTTGTCAGCATATTTACCCCCTTTGCAACACCAGCTTCCTTGATTTCCTTTTTCTTTGCCACGATGAAAGATATGGTTGTACGGGATTTGTTATACATCCTGGCCAGTTCGGCCACACATATGCCACTTTCATATTGTTCAATGATGTTTTTCTTAAATTCAATCGTATTTCTCACTTTCTTTACCAAAGGCTTGGCACTAGGAGCTTTCTTTGGAGCCATAGTAGCTTATTTAGCACTTGCAAGCACTAAAATGAATGGAATATTATGAAATATTTCGTATGAACAAGTGAGGGGACCATCGCTCACTGGTAAACAATGGCACACTGGCTGGGAAGGGAGGCTGAGGCAGCTCAGAGCACGAGTACGCGTCCCAGACGAAGGACGATGAGCGAGTAAACCGACCATTTGCGAGCCAATGTTTGGACGAAAAGAACGCGACTTTTTCCGAAAAGGACGACTATCGAGCCAGACGATTATTGAGGGACCACTGTACTACAAACAATGAAAGTATGGCATTAAAGATAAACACATTTCCTAACTGGAGTAAGGCTTGGCTTCCTGGCGTTTTAGAATGGGGCACTTGCGAAAATGTAGATTAAGCTGCTGCTTTTGGGGATATCCTGAATCACACCACTTGCACTGATAAGGTCTTTCCCCTGTGTGAATTCTCTCATGAACAGTAAGGTGATCCTTCCTTCTAAAAGACTTATCACAGTAACAGCAGACATATTCACGTATAGATAAGTGTACTAAGAGGTGAGTTTTTAGATTTTTCTTGGCATTAAATTTTTGTCCACAAATGTGACAAATATGACCCTGATCTCTATGTCCACTCATATGAGAGAGAAGCTCCCTATCTCCCCAAAATTCCTTTGAGCAAATATCACATTTGTAGATCATATCATGTGTGTGTTCACGGTTTCTATGGTAATAGAATTGGTATGCTCTTTCTTTTCCTGTAAATATTTTCCCACAAAATTCACAGGTAAAATTTTCTGGATATTTTGTTCTTTTACTGAGTCCATTAGCTTTACTGTCACAAATGTTATCAGAAGAGCCTAAAGTATCCTGATAACTCAATAGTCCTATTATATTTTTCCTTACTGTTTCATTTTCTGGAATGACAGCTTCTTTTGTTTTTTCATTTCCTCCTGGTGTTGCACATACATCTACAGATTTGTTAATCATAGGCAAATCATCCACCAAAAGAGGATCCCTTTCCATCAAAAAATTATGAAGACTAACTTCTTCACTATCAAATTTCTTACCATTTTCATCTTCACATTTGACAATTATATCCTCAATTTCTTCCACATTTCTTCTCTCTTCTGTACTACCATCCTTTACTTTTAGTGACTGCTGATTAATTTGATCACTACTAGTAATAGCATCAGGTGTAATTTCTTCTGAGTGCCAGAATATAGCTCCCCCTGGACTGATAATGGTTCCACAACATAAGAAAGTGAATGGTCGCACCACTTCATTTCCTAGCCTCACTGACAATGTATCACCAGTGCTAACTTGAGCAGCATTACCTGAAATAAACAAAAATTAAGAAAAAAATTCTACCTAAGGAGTACTACATATGTTCTTGTTTCTGTTATCAAGTGTGAGATATGAGGGAGATGATTAAAAAAAAAGGTAACAACAATAATACAAAGGAAGTAAATCTGTGTCGAAGTTGAATCAAGACAGCATAAAAAAGCAAAATAAAAAATCTTGGTGATGCAGAACATGAAAATTATAAAAACATTGAAAGAAGAATATAAATATAAAAAAACAAGTAGTAACATGAAAAAAGGAAGTTAAAGTTATTAATATAATTTAATCTCAAAAGAGCCAATGACAATTTTGAATGACTAATGAAAAATGAGCTAATCTGCTGTAAAGAATTTATTGAGACAATATAGTAATAAAAAAACACTACAAGGACAGTCAAGAGCTCTTACAAAGAGTACTAAACATACATCAAAAGTAACTGCGAATTAAAATATCAATACATTGACTTGAACACACCGCAATAAGTGTGCAGAAATACAGAACTTGCCATCTACTGCCTTACCTGTAGCACAATTGTGACATGCTTCCAGCATGCTTACAAGTGACTGCAGATTTAGGGTAACAAATGATCCCATAATGTATCTTATGTACTGTACTATACTGCGTAGTGGTCATTTCAGGGTCAAGTGTCAAATAACCTTAATGCTTCATTGAGAAACAAATCACCATCCCAGCTGCAAGGATAAATGCACATGTTAATTTACACATGCAGTGCTTAATAAAGAATGTTAAAAATGCTTATATTTCAAAAACTACTGCATTCTAGTAATGAAACAACGATATTTTAACCCGTAAATGGTCCAAACATATATATACGTTCTTACTGCTAGCGCTCCAAACGTAGATCTACATTTTAATTTTCCTGCCTCCAAATTTGGCACGACTGGCCTGAGATACCTAGTCAGCATAGAATAGGTCTTAACACTCGGTGTGCACAGTATTAAAAAAAATCTAGGAGCACTTAGTACTTTGTGGGAAAACCAGTTCAACCGAGCGCCAGCTAGAGAAAACAGCATGGCAAACACCTGGGATTCACTGATGTCTTGTAGTATTAACACTCCCATGTTAAGAGGAAAGTGATGTTAACCCCGAGTTTAGTGGCTTTGAGGTGGATGTAGCCATAAGTGGTCGAGGAAATATCAAAAACCTTGATAATAACCCATATGCAACATTTGTGCAACACCCTTTCCGAATGTCTTATAACCTATGTCCTAAGTAAAGAGAAACAATTCTGGAATGTGTAATAAGTGTTCAGCTGGCTGGCTGGCTGGCTGGCTGGCTGGCTGGCTGGCTGGCTGGCTGGCTGGCTGGCTGGCTGGCTGGCTGGCTGGCTGGCAGGCTGGCTGGCTGGCTGGCCAACTGGCTGGCTCAATCTCCATCTGTCTGTCTGTATCTATTTCTGCCTGTTTATCTCTGTCTATCTGTCTCTATCTGTCTCACAGGTACACAAATACAATTATACATAGTGTAAATTACCTAGGATAACCCAAAAAATCCAGACAAAGTGCTATACCATTGTGCTTGTAGATATAATGCGTAAACATGACTGGCAAATACATACATATTTACACTTGCTTGGGAACCAAACGTGACAATGCAGTCATGTGTAATACCTGTTGGTTCACGAGTGGCTCTCTCTGAGACAGAGAGACAAGCAGAGAGACAGAAAGAGAGACAAGCAGACAGAGAGACAGATAAGCAGAGACAGAGATAAACAGAGAGCTAGATAGACAGATAGATGGAGAGCTAGACGGACAGATAGAGCTAGACACACAGACATACAGACAGAGAGCTTGACAGACAGACATGTTTATGTGTAACAGTGAAAACAAATAAAGTCAGGGCCATGACGTTCATCAAATGTCACCACTGCACTGTCAGCAGTGGACTGACATTTGTCTTACATCATGCTTCAAGGGAAATTATTATTATTATTATTATTATTATTATATACTCCCGCATATCCAAAACATTGCTGGGACCTATAAATACTTTGTATATATTCCTAGACAATAATAAATGACCAAGGCAGGTGTAAATGTTCACCTGCCAGTGTGTTTGTCACAATTTGAGTACAATTTCAGTACCTAATACAGTGGAACCTCTACTTATGAGTGCATTCATATGCGAGTTTTTCCAGATACAAGCAGTCGCCCGGTCGATTTTTTGCTTCCAGACACGAGCAAAATTTCCAGATGCGAGTGGGCCTCAAGGGAGGTTCCTTGATGCTGGTGAGGGGCTCTTGCTCTTGATCTAGGGAACTGGATCTCAATTGTTTGTTGGACTATCTTATTGAAACTTGGACAATGTATGATGGAAAGATGCTTCTTAGCGTACACCAAAAATGAAAGAAATCAGACCATAAATAACGGAGTTCACTTGTCAGCCAATAGCCTCCCCTTAGCAGTATACAGTATTTTTGTATGGATTTTATGGTTGTATTTCATTTTTTTGGTCTCATTTGATGGAATGGAAGATATACTACAAAAACAGATATGATTTTGATTGGTTTCATGACAAAAAGTACCTTGACATTGAGCTCAAAGTAGCAGAAATGTTCGATTCTTTGGCGATGTTCAAGAGTAAACACATGACAATCACCATCCAATACTTGTCCAATTGGCACTGCCCCTCAACCTTCACATATTGGAAAGCTCTTCAACATGCTAGCAAAAGTGGGAGCAGACATCATGAGGTAGCAGTGGTAGACAACATGAAGTAGCAGTGGCCGACATCATGAAATAGCAGTGGCAAACGTCATGAGGTAGCAGTGGCACACAACATGAAGCAGCAGTGGCCGACATCATGAAATAGCAGTGGCAAACGTCATGAGGTAGCAGTGGCAGACAACATGAAGCAGCAGTAGCAGACAACATGAAGCAGCAGTTGCAGATAACATGAAGCAGCAGTGGCAGACATGAAGCAGCAGTGGCAGACATCATGAAACAGCAGTGGCAGACATCATGAGGTAGCAGTGGCAAACAACATGAAGCAACAGTGGCGAAGTGTAGCATTAAGAGTGTAGCACTTATAAGTCACTCTGTGTGACTTTTTTGGGTTATCCTGCTCCTGACTACACATGTAGTCAGGAGCAGGAATAGCCACTGTTTTGGCCCTATAAACCCCAACAACAACAATGGCCACTGTCACCACCACCAGCCATATATGTAATGACATGTATTTTATTCATTCTAGTGTATATATCATGTTTCTATGTTATTAATATTGTTTATTATATCATATTACATGAATCCAAATAGATAAATAATCTGTAGAGCTGATATTAGGGAAATTATTGAAGCATGAAATCACAAGAACTACTATAGTGTAATTATTAGAACATAAAAATTATATAAAATATAAAAACGAGAGAAAAAGGTATATTGGGAACACCTCTGCAAGCAGCAGGACTCGATGTTGCCGTCAGATGAGCATCCAATGCCAACTCTGCGGCTTCATATCTCGGTAAGTACTGACCCTAATTTTTTTTTTATCCTGTAACACTCAGAAAAATGCATTCTTTATTTAAAAAAAAAAAAAAAAAAAACGATTATTTTTTTCAAAATATTAGGAGCGCTGGGCAAGAGAATATATACATACATTTGGACCGTTTAAGGGTTAAAAATTATGCAGCAGTCACAGCACAGTACCATCTCATTACAAATGATTCCTCCACATAGACAACCCTATTCACTCACTGGCTCACTACCTTTATCCTTTCATATTTATTTCCAACTTCCTTAATACAGCCTCTCCTCACTTAACGATGGAGATAGGGACCTAAGACCCCGTCGGTAAACTAATTCATCGCTAAATGAGGAGTATACTATAATGGTAGTGGATTTGTGTCAACCATCTTTGATATTGTTTTAATGTCACCTTTACACCATTTATAACATTTCTGGTATAATTTTAAACATTTATACAGCGGGAACTTATATTGTAATAAAAAGAATTGAGGAAATCAGCTCTAATATACACTATTTAGGTAAAAATACTTGTCAGAGAGCCCGTTGTAAGTTCGAGGCATCAGTAAACAAGTCAGCCGCTAAGTGAGGAGAGGCAGTAATTATTTCCAATTACGTATATGTATACTTCGCTAATGAATTCTTGGATTATTTCCATCTTAGCAGCTTACTGTTCTCTAGTTTTTATCATATTCTACTCTGTCAGCTGTTACACTAGTATTTCATTGTAGCTCAAGTAACTTTCCACAAGTTTTTCTACATAAGATCTCTCACATATTTTCCTGATATCATACCCTGAAAATTTTCAACCTACCTGTACCTTTTTTTTTTTTTTTTTTTGGTAATACTACATGGTAATAAAAAAATTTGTTAAATAAATTAGTCCAAATCTATATTCTAACTTCAGACCCTTGCCCACCTGACTTTGCCAAACATACACTAGCCTGAATATGTTGATGGTGTCCACAAGCTCTGCTAACAAACTTTCTCAAGTCTATAAGAAAAGTTGTACTATATTAATTAAAAAAAATCTTATCACACATTTTCAAAGCTTAGCAGTGTTTTGCTTAGACAAGTGGCAGATAACAGCATAATAATATTTGTGAAAGGACTCTAAGTACCAGAGTGCACGTCAGAAGAAAGAGGGGCAAGTTTAGGATGCAGAGCGTAATTAGGAAGAGGGATGAAACCAAAATGTATAAATATAAACAATGAAACAATTGTCTTTAACAAAAAACAAACAAGCAACATTCATGGTTTTGATAGTATGTGTACTTTAAAAGAGAAGGGTTGACATAGTAAGCATTACAAGGTCCTAGGACTTTGACCACTTGATCAAGGTCCTACGACTGGAATGTTTTCTATGCCCTAGTGTTTGCTTACTTAGTCTTTTTAAACTACCTACCCCAGGATAACCCTAAGAGAGTTAATCAGTGGCTTGTTTCCAATGGAATCCTATGAAGATTTTATTCAGATTATTAACCCAGAGTTAGCAACACAGAATAACCCAACGGTCAGTGTGATCAGGATGCTTGGTTTAGTTACATTGGATCCTTTAATCTTCTCCCCAGGATGCAACCCACAACAATTGGCTAACACCTAAGAACTGTCTCTACTTACCGCTAGGTGAACAGGAAACAGTTTTGGAAATAAATGGTATAAAATACCGACACAATGGAAATATAAACACATATGCGGTATAATGTGATCCTTTATTGACAACATTTCGCCCACACAGTGGGCTTTTTCAAGTCACAAACAAATCTACCTGGGGTGGAAGGTACGCGAGTATTTATAGTCAGGTTCAGAATGCTGTGGTCAGGTGGTGAATGCTGCATCTGATGATTTACCGAGTGGGGTTATAGAGTCTAAAATCTTGGGTAGCTTGGAAGGGAGATTGGATAAGTATGTGAGTTGACCTTCTGCAGTGTTCCTCCATTCCTATGTTTTTATGTGGGATAGCGATGAAGAAGTTTCTTGGCAAGTGGTTCAGCTATGTTATAGAAGCCACTGTTCTGGTTGAAGTTGTTGGATATAGAGATAAGCGATGATTCTAGGATTCTTCGGTATTGAGTGTTGTCTTCTTTGGCGATAAGTCTCGAGTTTCTGTAGTTTATTAAATGGTTGTGTGAATGTAAACCCTCTGTGAAAATTTGTCTAGACTGCCTCCATGTGAGTTGCTTACTCTGTTGACACCGAGCTCCGAGGTCGGCACCTCAGCCTCACAAGTGGCTTACAGGACAGATTTCCACAAATGACTAATGTTGCAAGAAAATCTCGCCTGCATGCACGAATGAAGGGCTAACTTACTTAGTGTTAGAGAATCTATTCCGGTCTTCAACCTCCCGAAGCTTTAGCCCCTCTGTATTTCCCCTCAGAACCACGTGCAACCAGGAGCCTTAATTCCTGCAATATTCAGTCGTTATTAGTGACCTGCCTGCACCTCAGAAATCCCTGTGTTCAAGGGGGGGGGTGTATCCCCTAGTATAACTATACAGAAAGTGACACTAGCTTCTAAGGCTGACAAGAGATGCCGGTATGTACTGGTCATGGACTGCCTGCTTGCACAAAGGCCCACAATTCAACTCACTCGCAATTTCCCCCCAGAAACTGGCCAGAAGCTGAAAGAGAAAAGGGAGGTCTCGTCTTATTGTATGGGCCTGACGGAGGTCATCTACGGTACTTCGAGGTGCCTCCACCAGTTTTCCCCAGGTCTAGTATGTGAAGACACATGGGGGTGCCGCCTGCTGATCACGGCACTTGTGCTCCGACGGTGTCTGTCTATATAAGAAGGGCACTGAGGTCTCACAAACCATCCCCAGCATTCAAACTTGCGCTGTAAAGTCTCCCTGCAACATAACTTGTGCTTCCTACCCCTCATGAAGTCCTTGATGTTGGTGGGAGGCTCTTGATTTAGGGAAATTGGATCTGTGCTCCAGTTCCCCAAATTGAAGCCTGAAGTGCCTTCCAGCATCCCCTGCTCCCTGGGCGGCTGATAATCTACGGGTTAGAACGCTTCCCCTTGATTATAATAATAATAATAATGTGCTTGCCTACATTATCGGCCTATTACTACCTACGTTAAGGTCTTAGGTCTACATTATTATTATCTACAGTTGCCTCAATAATCCTAATATTAGTGTACTAACAGTATAAACTACCTACTTCTTCCCTGAAGGGTAAATCTATCAATTAAGATGTACCTTTCCAACCACCTTCGCCAACCCGGGTGTGTGTGTGTTTGGGTGGGTGTAAGGGCCACCCAACCCAGCCGTTCCATCTGCGACCTGATGGGATCTTTGTACGACGTATTGCTGTATAGTCCTTGTGGCTTAGCGCTTCTTTTTTGATTATAATAATAATGTACGACGTATTCAAATTCAAATTCAAACTTTATTCTCTATAAGTATTACAATGCTGAGTTTACTGAATTTGGTTATTGTGTGGTTTACATGTAGTAAAATAATAATTACAGAGTGTACCACTAGAACGCCTAGCATGGCTAGGCATTTCGGGCAGACTTATATTAAATCTTAGGTTTAAAATGTTACAAAATTATGAGATAAGTTGGTATTATGGCTTAGTGACTAAATACTAGTTGTGAGTTTAGCAATGTGAATGCTTTTGTTTTGGCACTATACATAGTTTCAGTATTGGAGTATCACAGGCCAACTTTTGACTAGTTAAGATTCATTATTTTGAGATTGAGATTGATATTTCTGTTTATGGTCAAATGGGTGAGTGAGTGTAAGTGTGAACCACCAGGTGGTATTCGTATTATTAGTTGACAGGGTGTATCAGGGAGATAAGATGTTTTCTGATGGTAGTTTTGAAGGTGATGAATGTGTCTGCATTTTTGGAATTTTCAGGTAGGGTGTTCCAGATTTTAGGGCCTTTGACATACATTGAATTTTTGTAAAGGTTTAGTCGGACACGGGGAATGTCATAGAGATGTTTGTGTCTAGTGTTGTGCCTGTGGGTTCTGTCACAACTATCAAGAAAGCGTTTTAGGTCAAGGTTAATATTTGAATTTAAGGTCCTGTAGATGTAGATTGCACAGTAGTAAGTGTGGATGTACTGAACAGGGAGTAAGTTTAGATCTATGAAGAGTGGGGGGGGGGGTGTTGCCAGGGATGGGATTTAGTGATTATTCTTACTGCGGCTTTTTGTTGGGTTATTATTGGCTTTAGGTGTGTTGCTGCAGTTGAATCCCAAGCGCAGATAGCATAGGTGAGGTATGGATATATAAGTGAATGGTATAGTGTGAGAAGGGCAGTTTGCGGCACGTAGTATCGTATCTTGGAGAGGATCCCAACCGTTTTGGATACTTTTTTGGTTATGTGTTGGATATGGGTGCTGAAGTTCAGGTTGTTGTCGAGGTATAGGCCTAGGAATTTGCGCTCATTATGCCTGGTAATTAGAGTGTTGTCGATCTTAATGTTAATTTGCGCATCTCCTGCTCTGCTACCAAACATAATGTAGTAGGTTTTGTCAACGTTAAGCGTAAGTTTATTGGCTGTCATCCAAGTCGATATTTTGATCAGCTCCTCATTAACAATGGTGTTGAGGGTTGCAAGATTAGGGTGAGAGATGACATAAGTCGTGTCGTCAGCAAAGAGAATGGGGTTCAGGTGTCGAGATACGTTTGGAAGATCATTGATGTATATGAGGAAGAGCAGGGGACCAAGGACACTTCCCTGCGGAACTCCAGTATCAAGTGGCTGTGTTGTTGATGCTGTGTCTTTAATGGTGACATACTGATACCTATTAGTAAGGTAAAATTTGAAATATGCAAGCGCATGGCCTCTTATACCATAATGGTCAAGTTTGTGGAGTAGGATGCCGTGGTCTACTGGAGTTTAACTGGAGAGAGTTCCGGGGGTCAACGCCCCCGCGGCCCGGTCTGTGACCAGGCCTCCTGGTGGATCAGAGCCTGATCAACCAGGCTGTTGCTGCTGGCTGCACGCAAACCAACGTACGAGCCACAGCCCGGCTGGTCAGGAACCGACTTTAGGTGCTTGTCCAGTGCCAGCTTGAAGACTGCCAGGGGTCTGTTGGTAATCCCCCTTATGTATGCTGGGAGGCAGTTGAACAGTCTCGGGCCCCTGACACTTATTGTATGGTCTCTTAACGTGCTAGTGACACCCCTGCTTTTCATTGGGGAGATGTTGCATCGTCTGCCAAGTCTTTTGCTTTTGTAGTGAGTGATTTTCGTGTGCAAGTTCGGTACTAGTCCCTCTAGGATTTTCCAGGTGTATATAATCATGTATCTCTCCCGCCTGCGTTCCAGGGAATACAGGTTCAGGAACCTCAAGCGCTCCCAGTAATTGAGGTGTTTTATCTCCGTTATGCGCGCCGTGAAGGTTCTCTGTACATTTTCTAGGTCAGCAATTTCACCTGCCTTGAAAGGTGCTGTTAGTGTGCAGCAATATTCCAGCCTAGATAGAACAAGTGACCTGAAGAGTGTAATCATGGGCTTGGCCTCCCTAGTTTTGAAGGTTCTCATTATCCATCCTGTCATTTTTCTAGCAGATGCGATTGATACAATGTTATGGTCCTTGAAGGTGAGATCCTCTGACATGATCACTCCCAGGTCTTTGACGTTGGTGTTTCGCTCTATTTTGTGGCCAGAATTTGTTTTGTACTCTGATGAAGATTTAATTTCCTCGTGTTTACCATATCTGAGTAATTGAAATTTCTCATCGTTGAACTTCATATTGTTTTCTGCAGCCCACTGAAAGATTCGGTTGATGTCCGCCTGGAGCCTTGCAGTGTCTGCAATGGAAGACACTGTCATGTAGATTTGGGTGTCATCTGCAAAGGAAGACACGGTGCTGTGGCTGACATCCTTGTCTATGTCGGATATGAGGATGAGGAACAAGATGGGAGCGAGTACTGTGCCTTGTGGAACAGAGCTTTTCACCGTAGCTGCCTCGGACTTTACTCTGTTGACGACTACTCTCTGTGTTCTGTTAGTGAGGAAATTATAGATCCATCGACCGACTTTTCCTGTTATCCCTTTAGCACGCATTTTGTGCGCTATTACGCCATGGTCACACTTGTCGAAGGCTTTTGCAAAGTCTGTATATATTACATCAGCATTCTTTTTATCTTCTAGTGCATTTAGGACCTTGTCGTAGTGATCCAATAGTTGAGACAGACAGGAGCGACCTGTTCTAAACCCATGTTGCCCTGGGTTGTGTAACTGATGGGTTTCTAGATGGGTGGTGATCTTGCTTCTTAGGACCCTTTCAAAGATTTTTATGATATGGGATGTTAGTGCTATTGGTCTGTAGTTTCTTTGCTGTTGCTTTACTGCCCCCTTTGTGGAGTGGGGCTATGTCTGTTGTTTTTAGTAACTGTGGGACGACCCCCGTGTCCATGCTCCCTCTCCATAGGATGGAAAAGGCTCGTGATAGGGGCTTCTTGCAGTTCTTGATGAACACGGAGTTCCATGAGTCTGGCCCTGGGGCAGAGTGCATGGGCATGTCATTTATCGCCTGTTCAAAGTCATTTGGCGTCAGGATAACATCGGATAGGCTTGTGTTAACCAAATTTTGTGGCTCTCTCATAAAAAATTCGTTTTGATCTTCGACTCTCAGTCTGGTTAGCGGCTTGCTAAAAACTGAGTCATATTGGGACTTGAGTAGCTCACTCATTTCCTTGCTGTCATCTGTGTAGGACCCATCTTGTTTAAGTAGGGGCCCAATACTGGATGTTGTTCTCGACTTTGATTTGGCATAGGAGAAGAAATACTTTGGGTTTCTTTCGATTTCATTTATGGCTTTTAGTTCTTCCCGCGATTCCTGACTCCTATAAGATTCCTTTAGCTTGAGTTCGATGCTTGCCATTTCTCTGACCAGTGTCTCCCTACGCATTTCAGATATATTGACCTCTTTTAGCCGCTCTGTTATTCTTTTCCGTCGCCTGTAAAGGGAGCGCCTGTCTCTTTCTATTTTACATCTACTCTTCCTTTTTCTTAAAGGAATAAGCCTTGTGCATACATCGAGTGCCACAAAGTTAATCTGTTCTAGGCATACGTTGGGGTCTGTGTTGCTTAGTATATCTTCCCAGCTTATATCGGTTAGGACTTGGTTTACTTGGTCCCACTTTATGTTTTTGTTATTGAAGTTGAATTTGGTGAATGCTCCCTCGTGACTAGTCTCATTATGTCGGTCTGGGGCTCCACGCATACATGTCTGAACCTCAATTATGTTGTGATCTGAGTATATTGTTTTTGATATGGTGACATTTCTTATCAGATCATCATTGTTAGTGAAGATGAGGTCTAGTGTATTCTCCAGTCTAGTAGGCTCTATTATTTGCTGGTTTAAATTGAATTTTGTGCAGAGATTTAAAAGCTCGTGTGAGTGTGATTTTTCATCAGAGCTGCCTCCTGGTGTTATTACTGCAACAATATTATTTGCTATATTCCTCCATTTTAGGTGCCTTAAGTTGAAATCCCCAGGAGCAAGATGTTGGGTGCAGGAGCTGGAAGATTTTCCAGACAGTGGTCAATTTTTAACAGCTGTTCCTGGAATTGCTGGGATGTTGCATCCGGAGGCTTGTAGACTACCACAATGACTAGGTTTTGGTTCTCGACCTTTACTGCTAAAACTTCCACTACATCATTTGAGGCATTTAGCAGTTCTGTGCAAACAAGTGACTCTGCAATGTACAGGCCAACCCCCCCCCCTTTTGCCTGTTCACTCTGTCACATCTGTAAGGTTGTAACCTGGGATCCATATTTCGTTGTCCAAGTGATCCTTTATGTGGGTCTCAGTGAAAGCCGCGAACATTGCCTT